AGTTGAAAGAGCCTATCAGCACATAAAATAGGATAAGGTGGTATGAAGTACAGATATTCTTTCCTTTTTTCGATCCGCTTTTGGCTGCAATTTCCCTCCTCATCCCCTTCAGCTTGGCCCCCACCCCCAGTTCAGGGGCAAACATTGGATCATCCAGCACCTTGAGACGCTTCACATGAAAGGCGCTATATAAATCTAAATATGTAGTGTAATGTATTGTATCTGTATATAATAATCCTTGCATTTGATATAGCGCTTTTCACATCTTCTAGACGTCTTAAAGAGCTTCACAGAATATACTGTAAAGTGAATTGACTGTATATTTGTGGGCGAAACATGGCAGCCAATTGCGCACAGCAGTGTCCCACAAACAGTCGTGGATTGAGTGACCAAATTATTATTATTATTTTTTTTCTTGAGGGATTATTATCAGGCATGTGGAGTAAGGAAACTTGCCCAAGGTTTTGCTCTGCCGGGAATCGAACCCAGGTCTCTCGCTTGTGTACATGGACATATTTTTTTGGCGGCTAAAGTATGCCTATTGTACATTTTCTAGTTTGAAGATTAACTATATGTACCCATATCCAGTTGCTGGTAATTATGTACTTTCAATGTAATTACGTACTTTTCATATTGGTACAAGAAGCATCTCACAGGGATACGATCCGTGATAAAGAACTCTTAGATGTTATCCTACTTGAAGGGTGCTATATAAATGGAAATTGTTATTGTTCAATCGCAGGTGATTGATTATACTATTCATGAGCAAATAACTCAATTGTCACCCTGCATTATGACACTTCACTGCAAAAAAAACAATGTTAACATTATAGCGACACATTCTTTTGATTTTCAGAGCTAATACTATATTTAGTAAAGATAGTTATTTCAGCTTTTTTCCTCTCTCCTTAGGCTGCTTTTCTGTTTTATTACACCATTTCAAGATGCAGAATGAGAGCATGTAATTTGCCAATGCTTGCTTATGTTCCCCATACTCAGCAACCAGGAGACATGCAAGTGTTACAGGTGAACTCGACTCCTATTCTTTTCTTCTGACCTTTATTCTTCTAAACAACTTGACAGCATGAATGATACTGGGAAAGATTGGAAACTATGGGGATGAATTGACATGTACCAATCGACATTGGTGCTGTAAAGCGTTGCATCAATAGAAAATCTCAAGTCGTGGCTGCCTTCACATCACGCTTTATACAGAAGCACCCTGCTGTAAATTTCAGTTTGTTTGCATTGCCCATTATAACAAAATCTTGCCGAATGTAAAAAGGTGAAGCTGAACTGGTGAGAACTGGTTAGCTGGGAAGGACAAGGATTTCAGACTTTAATTTTTGAGAACTGGAAGGTTTATATATTATGAATATATAATATAACTAATCATAATATTTCATGCTGAATCAGAAACCTAGATGCAACATTGCGGGAAGAAAGTGTTGGGTTCAAAGAATATTCATGAGTCTCTACAGTTCGCTGTATGTGATTTACAAGATTGTCTAAACCTTCATTTCGATTACCACCTTGTAACTCCCTTCCAAGCTTCCATCATTCTGCATGAAAGATTCTTTGTACAGAGAATTACAATTTTATGGACAGCTATGAACCAAGATTAAGGCAATTAAATGTTGTCCCTACACTTCAACATGCAAAGGATTTGCACTCAGAATAAATTGTGTTTGTGGCTGGGGCAGTATAATATGTAAAGTAGAAAATGAATTGAGCTAATTTGACTGAGACAATGTGAACACCACCAGTTTTAAAGTGGAAAGGTAACATAACAATTCTTGCATTTTTGATATAACGCTTCACAGGATTCACTGTGAAGTGGAGTGAATGTATTTGTAGGCGATTTTGACAGCCAAATTGGGCAAAGTAATGTCCCCACAAACAACTAAGAAACAAATGACCAATTGTTTTTTATTTTGGGGGATTGTCCGGTAGGACACTGGGAAAAACGCCCTTCTCTTTTCAGAAAGTGCCACGGGATCTTTAACGTTAACTTGAACAAGCAGACAGGACCTTGTTTTAGCGTCTGATCCAATGATAATTCAGCACACCCCCAACATTGCAGCATATCTTAGACAATGTGAGTTCATGCCCCAACGTGGGGCTTGAACCCACAACTTTCTGACTCAACGAAGTGCTACCACTGATCCAGGCTGACACCCTATGTTTGAAAAGCTGGCAATGTACCAATAAAACTGGTTAACTAACCTGCCGGAAATTCAGTGTGACCCTGGTATAATGGCCTTTGTTGGAAGAGTTAATTTGGGTTTGCACTGTGTATCCAGTTTATTGCGCACGCACACCAACCGCCCTGCTCATTTCCTTTGCAGCGGCTGGCTTTCATGCTAGAATGGCTAATTTCTAATTATTGTTTTGCCGTCAATATCCCTTCTTGCTTTGCTGCACATGTACAAAGCAGGAAACATTGCAGTGACCTAATGACACACTAAAAATTTATGGCTGACTTCTCGGTCATCAGGTTGCTGTCAAAGTTATTCCCTGAGTGCCGGTCAGTTGTGGGTATAATTATGTGAGTAAAAATCCACTAGCTAACAAGCCTCACTATAAAGGAGAATGGAACTTCACTGACGCTTCAGCTGTATAGAGCGTTACTCAGACCCCATCTGGAGTACTGCATTCAGTTTTGGGCATTACACCTCAGGAAAGATATATTGGCCCTGGAGGGGGTGCGGCTCAGGTTCACCAGAATGTTACCAGGCCTAAAAGGGTTAGGTTATGAGGAAAGGCTACATAATATGGATTGTATTCTCTTGAGTTTAGAAGGTTGAGGGGTGATTTGATTGAGCTATTTAAGATAATAAAGGGATTTGATAGGGTAGATACAGAGAAGCTATTTCCTGCTGGAGGGGGAATCCAAAACAAGTCTTAAAATTAGAACCAGGCCATTTAAGAGTGAAATCAGGAAGCGTTTTTTCACTCAAAGGGTGGTAGAAATCTGGAATTCTCTTACCCAAAAGGCCGTGGATGCTGGATCCATCCACACCTTCAAGAGTGAAGTTGATAGATTTTTGGTAGGTCAGGGTGTTAAGGGATATGGGGAGAAAGTAGGAAATTCGAATTTAAAGGATTAGTTGAGGTACAGATCAGCCATGATCTAATTAAATGGCGGAACAGGCTCGAAGGGCTGAATGGCCTCTTCCTGTTCCTATCCAAAACATTGTGTTATAATAAGGTTGCATTGAATAAATATTGGCATGATTGAAAATGATTGAAATGAGAAAAACCTGTGAATGCTACCTGATGCTGAGACTTACTGAATACAAGTATTGATTTTGTCTGGACATTATATTAGTGCTGACCCAAAGAGTCACATTATCATTCCTGATAGCTCAGCATGGCTGGTAATGAACCAAAGGACCAGCATTGACTATAATACCTCCTAAACATATGTTATTGTCATATTATCAATAAAGCATTTACACACTGAAGCTTTCAAGGAGTTCGAGGGAGTGAGTTGTTCTTGCTTACTATTTTAGAGGCAAGTTCTCCGATTTTCTTTTGTTTACTGACCATTAAATGATGAAACAAAACTTGCTTAGAACCTAACTGAATTGAATTAATCAGTTCAAAAACATACCATTTGAAAGAGTAACATTTGAAATGTTTGGTGCTTTGGGTGAAGAATCAGCAAGAGGGTTAATGCAGTATTGATTCTAGACAGTCCCAATCTTAAACACTTGCAAATGATCTTCACTGCCAATAGCAATGAACAGTTCCTAGGAGGTCTTCATTTAGCAAGTGGTACAGTAAGCTCACCTTTTCTCCTTGTGAGCCTAGAGGCCTCTCAGGCACTGTTGCTGCTTTGTGCTCAAGGACTTTTTTCTCTGCGCTAAAATATGATATTTGCAACAGGATTCAAAAAATGTTTGTAAATATTGAACCCTGCCCTTAACTGAATGAAGTACAGATATGTACATTGACCTTCTATTATCTCCAACCAAAGGAAATTCTGCTCCAAAATGTAGCACACCTGCTGTTTGAGGTAATACTTATAATCAAACCTGTTCAAACAATCAGCTCAATTCAGCAACCACTCCCTGTTAACAACCACCCTGGAACAGCATGGACACATTTTGCATAATAAGCCACCTCTATTCAGCAATCACCTTCTAATGTAACCAGTGGCCACTCTTTCATCCTTTGTACCGATACCTTTTTTAGATCCTGAGCCTTCTGAGAAATCTAGTCAGAATATAGCGAGCACTATCAGTAAACAGTAACAACTTGTGATTGCATTTTAATTATTATGTGCAATTATGCTTTATCTTGAATTATTTATTAATTTATTAAAATTTTAATTCCAGGTCTGATCTAAGATTATTTACTCAATTATCAATCAATTTTCTTAGCTGCCAAATTTTCACTTTATTAGACTTCAACAGACAAAATTGGACATTTATCAAAATCCTTCTTTTGCATTTATTTTGATAAGGATTTTTATTGCATTTTAACGGAAGGGCATTTAGTTGGGAGCAAATTTCTAATATTTCCACCCATTTACATTTTCACTCTCTCTAGAGAAGAAAGGCAAACTACGATGCTTTTCCCTGTTTAGCCCAAAACAACTGTTTGTTAAAATTAATACAAAAGTATTATTTCTGTGTGTTTGAATAAAACAATTCAATGCTGCAATCAATTGTGTTTCTCTCCCAAGTGGTGGGATTTCTTTGAGTGTTTGCCTACAAATTCAGTCATTGCAGTTTACAATGATTACTGTGAAGCGCTTTGCAACATCATGACAAGGTACTATGCCAAATGCAAGGATAACTAATATTGTTAATATTGTGGGAATTAGCAAAAGCTTTCATTTACAACATTTAACACTACATTAACTCGGCAAGGAACTTGCAAAATCCATACGTGGATTATTGAGATGTGGTCATAAATGTGATCATTCTTAGAAAGCATTATATTCTGTGCAATATTCTGTTTCAACTGAAATCTTTCTGGCGCTCACTCACCCTCAGCCTTCGTCCAAATACAGTGACCTGTCCCCTTGCTTGCTCTTTCCGCTGCCTCCATTCCACTAAGTTTAAGCCATTTTCAATGGGCAGAGTAACATTACGTTTTCCAACAGTGGGATTGACCGTGCCTGCCAAAAGATGTGGCTCTGTTTGCAGTGCGACCTCCATTCCGTTAGCCAATATGAGTCGCAATGAACCATCTGAACCCACATGGTATCCGTTTCGAACTTGATCTAAACCACAAAGAAATTACAGTTTGTTAATGAACAAAAGGTTTGATAATGTTTGGGAAATTGATAAGCAAAGGGACCAGTTTGTAACCTCATCAATTTTTGCAAATATTGCTGACTTTATTAACTTCTTTTTTGTTTGCATGTAAGAAATTTGTTCAAATAATTTGAGGATTGACTGTCTGCAGGGAAATTGAACATTTCTTATGATGTACATGTAAGTAAGCTATTTGATTTAAAATTTGAGCCTAAACTAGAGAGTGTAGGGTAAAATTCCACGAGGGTCTATCTGAATTTACTCTAAAAATATATCATTTCAGAGCAGGTTCGTAAATACAGCCATAATTTTGAATTTTTTTATAAGCTCTTTTAAATACATGGAGGAATGCATCCTGCTTACATAATTCCAAAAAGTACTAGTAGGTAAGGCTCGGGGACCCCAGAATGTGCCTCTGCTGGAATTTAACTCGCTAAAACCGTATAGCTTACCATTGAGAACATTGCCTGGCAATCTTCCCACTGGTGGTTCACTTAGGACCACTCTACCTATTGAGTTTTGGTCGTAGGATTAACAACAGTCAAGTGGAAACAATCAATGATCCCAGTGTCTTGTCTACCCCTCCAAGTTCTGTCGATAAAGTCGGCTGGCTGGACTGTTGCTAAGATCGACACGGGGCTTGACTTGATTCTGATATTCCTTTGCCAAATATGTCTCCTTGGAGCCAGGTCAGCTTTAAAGAGACTCTGCTTAATTCCCTCACCAGATCCCCCACTCCGCCAAGTTGCCATGGTGGTAAAAATGATGGTAAATATATGAAACAAACTCTGGAAACAATGTATTGTGTGCTACCTAGAACTGGCACAAAACCTTCCAAGATTTTACTTTGTTATTTGGGGAATGGGGATGTCCAAGTGGAGTTTGTCTCTTGAGGGATTGGGTGGGTGTGGGGCCATTAGGAGATACGATTTGCATGGCCTGTGTAAGGAACAGAATTTGTGGAGTGAATAGCTTTATTTTAAATTCCATATTTCTTGTGGTCTTAACTACCATGGATGACTTTGGATTTCCAGTCATTGGAAACTCGAGCAGATTGAAAGCGAATGGAAATTGGAACCAGCTGTCTGGGAACTTCGGACTGTATTACGGGATTTGATGCATCTCTTCTCTCTCCAAACATAAAACTATCAGGAACTCAAATGCAGTTCTCTTTAATGAAACACCACATTAAGAAGGTGGGGTGAAAAATGTGATGTTTCATAGCAGGTTTAAAGGGCTTTAAACTCCACACTGTGCTAATGGCGGAAGAGTGAGGGGTCGATCACAATGAGTTCTTTGAAATAGATAATAAAGTGCAATGTTTCATGAATAGGTTTGAATACGTATTTGGTTATCGAATCATGAAACAGTGATAACGAGACATCACATTTTTCATTCTGGCATTTTTCAAGCAAAATAAATATCAGGTGATAGTTGATAAAAATCATACGTAAAGTCAATAGTCATTTTCCTTTGGTACTTGGGAGATTATATGGATTTTAGCCCCGTAACTAAATAACTACAAGATCAATACAACTGGAACACTGCAAAATCATGGGGCAGATATTAATTGTAAAACTTCTGGGAGAGAAGATAACAACAGCCCCAACAATAGACAATGAACTCACCTTGGACAAGAGTGTAGAAGGCACCTGCTGCTGACAAATTAGTTGTTATGGTAACATCATCCTTATTAGATGTCTCTACGTGTACTCGAACAGAGTTGTCAATGTTACCATGGAAACTGTTCACGTACCCAGTGGGGAACGTCACGTTGGTCAGGCGGCCATAATTATCATACCTGGACAGAAAGCAACTTTGTTGATATTTAACATATTTTATTTTCCTGAAAATGTCAGAATCATAGATATTACCATGCAAAAGCAGGTCATTTGGTCCATCCATCCTATGCTTATTCTCATTAGTCTGCTGGAGCTAACTTCTCTAATCCCAAATCCACAACGTTTCTTACTTCACATTTAGTAATGCTACCAACTTTGCAGCTTTTCCATTAAAATCTTAACCTTACGCTTTGCATTTCTTTTGGTCTTTACGGTTGCATCGCATCAATTCTTCAGGATTTCACCAAATGTATAAATAGGATTTATTTTATGTGGCGATCCTGATTTGATGCCACACAGGGTGAATCATTTATAAGTGTGAATCTTGAAGCATTGTGTCAAAATTGCCAGCAAGATAAAACTTTCAAAATACGCATTTGTGATGATTTTATCAGGAGACCCACATGCAGCATACACCAAATATCTCACCAGCGATTACACGGTCTAGATATTTCTGCACTTTGTGTTGCTTTTGAGGGGACAGTGCAGGACATTGAATAGTTTTACCAGAAGCATTCAGTACTGAAACTGGCAAACCCAAGCCTGCATGGGCTGAATTGCAGTCAGAAAATCGAGTACTGTATCTCACAAGGCGATCTCCTTAAACAAAAACAATAATAAATTGGTCATTTTCAATCCACGACTGTTTGTGGAACACTGCTGGGCACAATTGGCTGCTGCGTTTCGCCCACAAATATACGGTCAATTCACTTTACAGTCTATTCTGTGAAGCGCTTTGAGATGTTGAGAAGACGTGAAAAGCACTATATCAAATGCAAGGATTATTATTATCTTATTATTATAAATGGCTATTTTCAGCACATTTCAACCACAAAATGATTTACAACTGGAAGTCGATATCTGGACAGTTACAAATTTCAGCAAAAACACTTCATTTGTTGGTACTTTTGTTCATTTAAGTACTTCTCCCACTCGTAACACTTAAGTACTGCTTACAGTCTTCTCATTTTGATACTCAAAATTTTCTTTCCTCTTTATTTTGAAGATTAATTTAAACCAGAATATTATAAAGCAATTGTTTAAAAAATGGAGACTGCTGCCTGCTGAAAGCATCTTGCAAGATACTTCATCAAGTTTGTTGTATGATTTGTAGCAATGATCAAGACCACATGTGGTGCCACAAGAAATCTGTAATGTTAATCAATAGTGAAGCAACGTAAACGTTTGTGCTGCAGCAAATATATTTGGCCTAAAATTCTACGAAGTCTTAGCCTGTTGAGACCACTTTCTCTTCAAATATAACATGCAGAATTATGGTAATTGTCCAAATTCAGTCTTAATTTTAAAGCTGCTTCTTTTTAAGAACTGTACAAAATGGTCTTCCAAATTAAGCCTGAATTAAGAATTTTCTAAAATTTTGCACATTTTAAATTATAGGAAAAATTGATCATCAAGACGAAGGCAAAGTTAGAAAAAACTGCCCACAAAATATATAGTCACTACACTTTACGGTATATCCTGTGAAGTGCTTTGAGATGTCCCAAAGATGTGATAAATGCAAGAATTATTATTATAAAACAAGTGGAATTTCTGGCCAATTGCATCCTGCAACACCAAAGCTGATGTTTTTCTAGAGTGGGATGGCAGGGCACTCTTTCAATGTGTGTTTTAACGAATTTGTGTGTCAATTATAGGCATGATATAATTGTTATTATTAAGCAGTGTGTTGTATACTTTGGAGTGCATTTTTACTGTATTTCTTAACGTGATTTCTTAAATAAGAAATCTGACTGGGGTCTCCTTCCGGTAACCGAACGTAGGTCACAAACAACACGCCGACTTCATGGCACTTTGTTCTGAAAGTAGATTGTGATGTAGCAGCATTTTCAAGACTGTGTCATGTATTACCAGATTTCCTAATTAAGAAATCCTGTTATGAAACGCTGCAAAATTCACCCCTTTATTCCATTTTGGAGGAACACACAGCAACAAACTGCTTTGCTCACGTAAAGAATCCACTTATGACCACGTTGAATTAAACATTAGATTAAACTGCATGGAAAAAATTATGTAGAGCAGGATAAATCTGAGCTACTGCACAGCACAGGAGGCAAATCCCATGGGTGATAAGGTGACCTATGAACCTAATTAGGTGGAAAACAAAAAGAGGGAAGCCATTGCTGTTATTTGCAAATAATAACACAGGTCAATTTGGACATGGTCTGAGGTTAAGCATTGCTGTACACTTGTTCACTTTTTGTGTACTCCCCTTAAATCCTTTGAGGATTCAAAGAAATCTCGCAACTTTGCAATGGCTCGGTGTGAATTACTTTTCTTTCGTCCTTCACATTTTTTTTGCCTTCAAAGTTATTCCTCTCCCGCTTGGAAATGTCAGTGGGGCCTCAATGAGTTGGAAAGGCAAATGCTGTTTTCTGATGGGGGAAGAATTAAAATATTTTACATTACAATTTTAAGAGGACCAGGGAAGAACCATTCATCATTCTTTAAAAATGATTAATTTCATATTCCTTGCGTGCTCCATCAGTCCACTTTAATATTCCTCAGATGGTTGCTTTCTCAGCTGTAACATCATCACTTAATGAAATTATATTTCTTCATTACATAAGACCTTCACCTGGTGCTTTAATAGCCTTTTTCGATAAAAAGTTTGTGAAAACAAAATTTCTATTATCAAGGATCCTCAGAAGTCTGAAATTTTTCATAGAGAAACTCATAGAATTCTCATTTACACTAAGAATAATAATCTTTGCATCTGATAATAATAATAATAATAATAATCCTTGCATTTGATATAGTGCTTTTCACGTCGGGAGGACGTCCCAAAGCGCTTCACAGAACACACTGTAAAGTGAATTGACTGTATATTTGTGGGCGAACGAGGCAGCCAATTGCGCACAGCAATGTCCCACAAACAGTCGTGGATTGAAAATGACCAATTTATTATTGTTTTTGGTTTTGGAGGGATTATTATTAGGCGTGTGGAGTAAGGAAACTTGCCCAAGGTTTCGCCCTGCCTGGAATTGAACTCAGGTCTCTAGCTTGCAAAGCGAGTGCTCAACCACTGAGCTACAGGACTCCACGTGATATAGTGTCTTTCACATTAGAAGGATGTCTCAAAATGCTTCACAGGATGTTTGCAGTGCGGTGTCTGTATTTTGTAAGCAAACCACAAATCTAGTAAATCGTATGAAGCTCCACGCCCAGAAAGAATGGTCGTCCAATGAGGCTTAGTTCAATTGGATCTGATCAGTGCAGTGGATCACAGCTGTATGAGCAGGGGCAAAAATGTGGTTTTCTGTGTGGTGCAAAGTTAAGCAGATTCCTGTGCCACCTGTGATGGTACACAGAAGAAAGCACATCCCATCCCAACACATACCTTCTTTCATAAAATAAAGGGAGAAAAATATATTTACTCATAGAATGTGGTCCATCCATTTTCATTGCTTTTAGTTGCCAAGAGACCACTATTTCCATGGTATGTCATCATAGCCAGCTCATGCCCCTGGGAAGAGACACTCTTTAAGGCACTGTTTGTACCAATGGTAAGCCAGTAAACCTGTCCATCTGGTACCACAAGCCAGAGTGGCATTCCTGTGGCATCTCGTCGAACACTTAGCATGTTTCTATTGTTGTCTTTGATGCTGCTGATGTCTCCATTCCCAGTGTACGTGATATTGTAAAGATAGTCTCCGGTGACAAGGCTCTGGGTATACAAATGGCTACCATTGGTGGTAAATAAGTAGAGTTCTTGATCAATAGTGGAAGCCACTTCATAGAGGTATTGAGGATTAAGATATGGACGGTTTTTTTTCACAAACCTGATACGAACATTGCCAAGGTCTGCAATGTACAATTCTCCCTCAGGGCATATTGCCAGGGATGATGGGGCATTTAGTTTGGCATCCTTTGCGTAGCCATCATCACCAGAGAAACAGTCACAGTTGGCATCGTTCTTGCAATCGCAACCAGTTTGTGCTCCAGCAACAAGAGATATTTCACCGTTTGTTGTGACCTGGCGCACTCGATTAATTTTCTTCTCGTCTGTTTCCGCAATGTAGAGTATTCCATTATGGGAGACGGCAATGGCACTTGCTGCTTCTAAGGTTGAGTGCACTGCCACTTTGCTGAGCAGGAAATGATCGATACCAGGTACTTGACAGTGCATTGGGCGTCCTGCTACAATGCGAACCTGGTGATTTTCCGAGATCTGGAGCACCACATTGTTGTCCAGCACATAAAGTGAATTGTCCATAGGATTCACTGCCAGGTCAGTGGGCCATTCCAGACGCACCTGAAGACAGAAAGTTACAAAATCAACAGCTGTTAAAAACATCTGGGTTAAGCTCCTCTTTGAGAAATAAGGAAGTCATTGGTAGAACATTGATTCAGCATTTTGTCTCACACTGTTCCGATGACTAACTAGTTCACAGTAACACAGGGCCTGCAAGCTTTGGTATTTACAATAGCAATTTTTAAAAAAATTGTAAACAAGTTTAGCTTTCAAGAGGGAAGTAGACAGGCATCTGAAAGATAGGAGCTTGAAGAAGTGTCGGGATAAGGTAGGATTAAACTGATCGCCTTACACTGTGAGCTGATGTGCACTCAATGGACCGAACAGTCTCTTCTGCGCTTAGATTTCTGTGTATATAATAGCTATAGTTTGATTAATTTTAAGGTAACTGACATTATAATGGAATTTGAGTTAGGCTACTTGATAAGAAATATAAATCGAACCATTCAAATAGCAACATTTTAGTTGTGAGGAATATCTAACATATGCAAATGACTAGAACAGGTTACAAGGAAGGGTGGTTAAGATGAGGACGATGGACTCATTTAACCAATAGTTTGATGCTCTGAAGGGAAGATGGTAGAGTGGCATTCCAGAAGGATGAGATCAAATGGGACAAAAGGCCTTCTTCATCCAAAGTGATCTTGTACTCTTGAGGTCAGTTCAACCAATGTTTGAATAGCACCCCCTTTAGGAAAGCTAGCCCCAACTTGCATATATACAGACCAACAACAGTTCAAATATTGGGAGCAAGTGGTCAGAAATATAGACGACTGACTGCATGAGCAAAATCATATCTGATTTAAAAGCAACAAGACAAGTGATTATAGAACAGAGCTCCAGAGGACAAGGGCATTGTAACTGAAGGATTGATCTCTAATTGTATAGCAGAGTATATGTGGTTTAAACAGCTAACCAGAGTGAGAAGAATGGAGAGTGTGGGATGGGTTGCCAGAGCTGCAACTGTATCCTAGAGAGGACCATGTGGATTGGATTTCAGCAGTGATTGTGGTACAATAGGTGGACAATTTTCCAGAGATGGAAGAGGGCAATCCTGGCAATGTAGGACTTAAGATCCTCATCAGATGATTTTACTCATCAGGCAGGATCTTCTGTGGGTCACTGATAAATGCACTTGTCTGATAGCAGTAAGTTCTTGTTTTGACAAGTAGAAATGTGTTGGAGGTTGCCCTTGTCACATTTGTGATAGAGCCATGTCGATCATCACTGTCCTGGCTCTTTAATTGGCTGAAGAGAAAGATATCTGAAGTTCGTTTTTAGCCAGGTTAAGGAAACAAAGCACGGAATTGAAGGTTATTTTTGCTTCTGAAACTGACATCAGTTTCCAAAGGAGGAAGAAAAATGGTAAGTAGAAGATTACATTTTATTCCCTCCCCCAGCCTCAGAAATATGATTTAGAAAAAAAGTAGACTATTTAAATTATTTGGATAACAGTAAAATAAAAAAAAGTCAGAGAGAGATTTCAAGGCAAGTAGAATTTAAATGTTCACATCTTCATGCAACACAAATAGATTTGTGTGGCTAATTTTGCAGTTTGGGGTTTGTGTTACTGCAATAAACATATCAATATTTGATAGCTTATTTTGTAATATGTGCGTTTGATTCAACATTACAGTGTGTAAGCTGAAAATGTGATCAACTAGTTAAATCAGGGAGGCGATATTTTTTAGTCAATTGGATGTCTGACGTATGCAGAAACCCATACCATCCATACAATGTTCCATATAATAATAATAATAATAATCCTTGCATTTGATATAGCGCTTTTCACGTCGGGAGGACGTCCCAAAGCGCTTCACAGAACACACTGTAAAGTGAATTGACTGTATATTTGTGGGCGAACGCGGCAGCCAATTGCGCACAGCAATGTCCCACAAACAGTTGTAGATTGAAAATGACCAATTTATTATTGTTTTTGGTTTTGGAGGGATTATTATTAGGCGTGTGGAGTAAGGAAACTTGCCCAAGGTTTCGCCCTGCCTGGAATTGAACTCAGGTCTCCCGCTTGCAAAGCAAGTGCTCTAACCACTGAGCTACAGGACTCCACATATATGTATGGCAACCACATATAAACATTTCCCGAAACCTGGAATGAAGTACACACTCACTTTCCAGAGGAATACATTCTGTTTTCCTAACTCCAGAAAATATTGGGCACGAGCTAACTAGGGCCAAGGCTTGGGGCTCCAGCGTGTGTATTGAGGTGCTGCTGGAGTTTAACCAGCCAACATCATAGCTTACCACTTAGGGTTTAGCTTATAGGGTCAACAGGAGCCCAGTGAGAAGATTCCCTGCCCCAGGGCTTTGGGCTCAACCATTCTGCTAAAGTTGTGGGGGTGGGGGGGGGGGAGTTGAGAAGAGTTCATACACATAGCCAATTGTAAACTGTCCCTTGGTTTGTTCTCAATTTGCAATTATGCAGCCATTGATAACTATCACAGTAGCTCCCAGGGGAGACACACAGCAAAGCCAAGCAAGTCTGCAGTAATCTAAGGCCTTCTTTGAGACAGACAGATGCCCTGAACCCTGCAAGCCTCCTTGTAGGTAGGATGGTCATGGCCGGACATCACCAATGATGATCATCACATCGCATTTTTCAATCCAAAGCAAAATAGCACCAGGATATATCTTTACTAATAATCAACTGTTATTTGCATAGGAAAATGATTTGGGCAGAAAAATGATCTGAAATAAGCTCTGCTGAATTTCCTGGCTGACACTTGGGAAACAGCAACAGCCTCTTTCATAATAAATGGGTTATTTTTTCTGGTGCAGTCTGCATATTTTCCCCAGTATTTGCATTAACATCAAGAAGCACATTTCTTTTAAAATAACCAGTGAATTTTCAATGTTTAAAACCTGTTTCCTGTCAAAGCTGCCTTTTTAAAATTTCATGCCCTGTAGTCTCATGGTACCTTTGAGACATAATAGAAGAGCTTTTATTCTTCTCAACGATAAAAGAATATTCTTGCCCCAGCTCACATGGCAGACAGCCAAAACTGACTGTTTTCAGTGTGTTATCAAAATCTAACCAACAAATAATAATAATAATCCTTGCATTTGATATAGCGCTTTTCACGTCTTCTAGACGTCTCAAAGAGCTTCACAGAATAGACTGTCAAGTGAATTGACTGTATATTTGTTATAAAGGGAACAAAGGCATGTGTTCTCTTTATAACAACAACAACAACAAGATTCCATTTAGTGAGCGCCTTTCACGTTGGGAGGACGTCCCAAGGCGCTGTACAGTTGGGTCAGGACCCGAGCAGGGGGAAATGGTCAGGGTGAGGGAGGGAGCAAGGAGGGGGGAAATGGTCAGGGTGAGGGAAGGGAGGGAGCAAGGAGGGGGGAAATGGTCAGGGTGAGGGGAGGGAAGGGAGGGAGCGAGGAGGGGGAAGAGAGTCGAGAGGGGAGCTGAAGGCACGGTCAAAGAGAAGAAAGAAAAAATAACATTATTTACAACAACAAGATTCCATTTATAGAGCGCCTTTCACGTTGGGAGGACGTCCCAAGGCGCTGTACAGTTGGGTCAGGACCCGAGCAGGGGGAAAATGGTCAGGGTGAGGGGAGGGAAGGGAGGGGGCAAGGAGGGGGTAGAGAGTCGAGAGGGGAGCTGAAGGTATGGTCAAAGAGAAAGGTCTTGAGACCGGCCTTGAAGGAGGAAAGGGAGGAGGCAAGGCGAAGGCACTGGGGGATAGCCAATACCCTTGTATTGCCATTAAATTAAAGTAGATGACTATTAAATAAGTTCCACAGAAAGAAGAGGTAATTGCGGCTGGATCTGAAATTGGCTCCAAGGAGAGATACCAAGCAAAGCCAGGCAGATATGCAGAAATCCAATTTTATCTTCTGAACTGACACACTGAGGAACTAAGTGCCCAAATTCCTTTCACATAGAACTCTTATAGTCAATAAGAAGAGACCTTTATCTCATCGGTCTGGGCTGGATTCAAACCCAAAGGCACTAAAGTTGTTAGCCTTGCTCAGTTGGAAGCAATCTTGCCTCTGAGTCAGATATATTCACTTCACTCGACATGTCCCACACAGCGAGACAATGTTACATGCAAATTAGACGCTGGTTAGACTACAAAATACACAGACACTATACTTTGCCTATAACACACTTTGAGACATCCTCCTAATGTTAAAGCTACTATATTAAATGGAAGGATGATTATTATTATTATTATAAAAGTGAAAGGCCGGTGTCTAAGGCACTGCACTAAAGTTCCCATTTGCTTTGGTTACCAATCTTATAATGTGACTAAATCGACACACTGATTTATGTGCACTTTGCTCACAGAATGGCTCACTGGCCAGAATCTGTATTTAGAAAAGAAAAATTATGCATAAAGTTACAAAAGTAAACAGAAATGTACCATCTGGACTGCAGTGTGAAGTTTGTGTTGACACAGGATTAACAATTTACTTTATTTAAATTTGCTTCCTTTTGTTTGGAAGCCAAAATATTTCTTAGTGGAACTGTCATACAGAGATAATGAATAATATGACTGGGGAGATGTGGGCCAAAATCGAAAAGAAATACGATGAGCTGTAAATATAAAAAGGAGTCTGGATTTTCATATTCTCTTTCGTCAGCAGAAAGTTTCATTTATCAGATGTTCAGTTAAGTGGAACTGACTGCATTATGACTAAGTCTGAGAAGAATTCACTGTGTTCCTGGACAGAAAGCTTTGAAGCTCTCAGCCCTTATGGAATTGCACGACATATCATCAATAATAACAGAAATGGAAGGACGTAGGTTATCAGGTATCTCTAGAAGGGGTTTTATTTGACCCTTGAAGCTCAAAAGAATTTTAAGTTGTGCTCTAACCTCACCAATGAATGGAGGTGAATAATTTTGTGTTCAACACATTCTATGTAATTTTAGTGTGAATGTCAGTGTGAATGCGTCAATGATGCAATATATGCAATGAGTGTCTGTTGGGTCTTTTATCATTGAGACATTTCTGTTAATTGGTGAAAGCAGACCATGTTTGCAGACTGTGTGATTGATGTTAGGATCTAAAATGCTACATTTGGAATCCAGATTTATTGTGTTAATAACCCTTGCAGTTTGCGAATATAAGATTGCAAAATATCCAATTGCAAAATTCATGGCCAACTTGCAACCCCCAAGTTGGTAGAGTAAGAAAAGCTTGGTGAGTAAACCACTGATAGGAATGGAGAGAGTTTCAGTGGCTATTCCTTTGGTAGACTTTGATAAGAATTTATTATTCTCCAGGCACAGGTGTCATCTTGCTCAGTTAGTAACAGTCTCGCCTCTAAGTCAGAAGGTTTCAAGCCCAACATCAGAACCAAAAACTCTTATTTTCTAGGCCGACTCTCCAGTCGAGTACTGGGGGTGTCCTGCATTCTTGGAGGTAATTAACTTCAAGGTGAACATCCCAATGGTATATTTGTGGATCTTAAGAAAGCTCTTAATGAGAAAAGGCTATTTGGATGCTTCCTTCCTTCCACTGACCATGAAAAACCTTATCCTCTCTTGGACTCCAACTCACTACCTGAATCTTGTGAAGAAAAGCTTTTCACAGATACTCTCTAATCCCTAAAAGTAATCAAGCAAAAATATATTTAAAATGCATCAGTTATTAGTGCACTGGCTCTTGAACAGCATGAAAGTGTGACATAAAACTGAAGAAACAACATAAAAATAATCTAATGTGGGAAGAATCCTACTCGAATTCTGTACTTCAGGACTTGGTTATATAATTACCAACATCAATTGATGGTTTATCTTTCAGCATTTACTTTCCCCCTCCTCCATATTTATCCTCCAAATGTTTTTCGACTACAAAATACAGTCAATTCACTTACAGTATATATATACAGTATATCCCGTGAAAAAGATGTGTCGATGACGTGATAAGGTGCTATATCAAATGCAAGGATTATTATATTATTATGTCGACAAACGCAGCATCTCTTATGGAAAACAGGTTCTTATCTGTATCTGATCATAAAATGCCAGCTCCAAGACATTACCTGGGAAATATCCATCACGGAGTCACAGCTAAGAGGCCGTGCTGACGTCAGGTCATTCGAGCCGATCACAGATGAGATGATTCCATTCTGGTCAATCCGGCGGATCATGGTGCCATCCACAAAGTATATCAGACCAAATTTATCAATAGTTATACCTGGGTACGAAAATATAAAGAATAATACTGCATAGATATGATGAAAGGGTTTGGAATGATACAACATAACATTTTGTACTGTTACCCAAAGTTTGTTTCTCCATATTATTTATGTATAGCATTAATAAGAGGGGATCCAGATCTGGCATTTATGGAACTCAGGGGCTATTGATTCTCAGAGTTTTTCCCATTTATTTATTTGCCTCTCTGTTGCCATGCCAACTTCTTATTTCAGTTTGTTAACTCCATGAACTTCAGTCTCTCAACAGAAGTTAAAGCCTCCAGTTGTGCTTTTGGCTTACCACCCTTGGACTCTAGAGCCAAGAAAATCCTCTAAACTTTCAAGTGTTGAACAAAATCTTTAAGTCAACCAAAATTGAAAGAAACAGGTCAAATTGTAGTCTTTACCTCTCGGACTAGTTAGAGAGGCTTCAATTGCTTTTCCACCATCCCCGCATCGAGCCTCATCAAAGGGAAGACACTGATCTCCTGTCCCAGCCACCACCGCTGCATTCTTCGCTACATCCTTGCTTCCAGTGAGGGCTTTTATTTTATAGATACGTCTGCTGTTTGTATCAGACAGGAACAGGGATCCCAAAAGAGGGTCCACGGTGAGGTAGTACTTGTGTGTTGGAGTATTGCTGGGGAAAAGAAACACGCAATAGAATATTTTAAATACAGATATTGGGTTAACTCCGAATTAAGATCAACCATCTTACGTTCATTTATAAGGTTGAACTTGGTTAAAGAATTTTGTTAGAGTATGATGACGAAACAGAACAATTTTTATTAAAAGATCAATGGGGGCATATATCTGTTCATCACCAGTGATAATTATCATATTACAAACCACATCTCTCCCCATCCCATCTTATATTTTCTCCTATATGCAGCTTCTATTTGTTGGTGAGTCCAAGACAAGGGAACATACATATAGCGTAGTTAGTGGCAGATCTAAAAGGCAGTTTACGAGGAACTTTTTCATACCAATGGAGTGAGAATGTGGAACTCACTGACGAAAATTATGGTCTAAGCAAAAAGCATCAAAGTAGTTCAATAGGAAATGTGATGCCGTGAGGGAGAAAGGAACAGAGGAGAATGGGAGAGGCTGAAAAGAGGGCTGGAGGCTCCCATGGAGTAAAAACACCAGCACAAACTAGGTGGGCCAAATGGCCTGTTTCCATTCTGTAACGTTCTGTACAATTCTATGAAATGATTCAGTGTATGGCATTTGAATTCTGCTGGACAGGACTAACAGTGTCAATTTTCGTCGTTCTCTGGGATGGACCACTCAATCATCATATAACACTTTAACTGATGGTTGAGGTAATGGCATTTCTGAACTGAAAAGTAAATGTCGCTGTTGCCATCAATTGGTGCTACAAGACTCCACAAAGAGACTGTGTAAACCCCTTGAATGGATTTATAAAGAAGCCTCAACTACTATGAGAATTCAAGTAATCTCATGGAAGCAAATATAAAATCTACAAAATACTTATGAGGCATCTTACTTTCCTGGGTATTATATGAGCCAGATCTACATAAGGATGTTTAGTGAGCTGTGTCTAAAATCTGTGTCTAATTCAATTATCGTTTCCATAGTAACATTTTCCCCATGAAGGCTGGTTGAATAATCATCATTTGCAGGGCTTGCTAACATTATAGTAATTTTATATTCACACAGCTAATGATTGATTCACTCCCTATATCTGAGCAAGCATAGAAGTTGCTTTTGACTTGTGGAAATACATAAGTTAACTTTAAATGTCACAGAAATGTATTATGTATCTCTTCTATTACTCCAATTGTTGTCTTTTTTGTTAAAATGATTATTTTGGGATGGAATCTGTTCCAGTGTGGGGTAGAGAAGCTTGACCTCCTTCATGTATGTCAGCTGGGAGGAGCTGGGAAACCAGACTGGAAACATTGTTGGAGGATACGGTTGAAAAAGACTAAGAATCTGCGGAATTCAAAAAAAAATGTGCAAAGCAGGTCAGAGAAGTTCAAAGGCTGTAGGAGAAGGGTTATTTTCTCACAAATAACAAGATTTCAATAGAACTTAAATACTCATTGCAAATTAACAACAACAACAATTTGCATTTATATAGCGCTCTTCATGCGGGGTAGCTTCCCAGAGTGCTTGAAAATATAACACATGATGATATCTATTGAAAGACATAGTGCACTTATGCTTCAGCTGAATGCACTATAAAATACCACCTGTTCCTTTTACAGCAGAGGAAACTGTTGCTTTTGGTCAGCACCTTCACTGATCAAAAAGGTTACACTAGTTCCAATTAGCTATTTATTTTATATGCTTGTGGATGACACTATTTAATTACAAGAACTCCTCTATTTTGAACTCATTAAACTCAGTGTTATTTTCCTAATAGCAAATTACAGATCTTCAAAATCTGCAATAACCACTACATTAACATTCAATCAGAATACTGTATGATTAGCACAACAAATGCTGCGATAACCTGAATCTCCATTTAGAATTTTCCCTGCTTGGAATTTATAATGCGAGTTCTCTTTAATAACTGGGATAATAAAAGATTTCAATACTGTAAAATAAGTTTTAGAGGTGTCCAACATAATAAAATATAATAAAAATGTCATTTCACTTTATATGAGAACAAATATGAAAACTCCAGCCATCAAAAGGTTTAATTGAATGGATTTGTTTTTAAAAATATCATAACCTTGATAGGATTAGCATTAGGGAAGAAGCTACTAAATTAAGGTGACACGATTTGAGAGATGACAACTGTCTCACAATTAGTTCATATTTTGCAAGTTTTAATATTTGTTACATGAAAGCTGCAAGGCAGCTATGTTGTCCAAATGGCTAAAAGGTGGCCCGAAGTGGAGTCTTTTGAGTGCTCCATTCCTGCTGCAGAGAGCTTTGAGCTAGCTTCAAGTCCATTCTTTGTGCTAAGGTCAGGGAAAGGGAGAAATTCACACCGTGGCCAGGCACATTTTTCAACTGTTTTGACTGTAACTTCATATCATCACCATTGATATTTATCACATCACAAGCTACATTTTGCAGCTTGATGTTTCTAGCAGCATTAAGGAAAAGCAGCACTGCATTTCATTTTAACAGAGAAAGAGACTAATTTACATAACAAAATGTAGCCTATTTCATTTCCGAAACCAAACATCCTCATGGCAAGAAGCCATTAAATTAAGGTGACACGATTTCAGAGATGACCTTCATTTGTCACTTCTTTACAAGTACAAAGTGTTTTGTTTAAATATTAAAAATACTCCCAACTGCACAAGATTCCCTCTGAATATCAAAACTCTTATTGTGATTTTACACATTTTCTTTATGTTTCTGTTGACTTCGTTTTGTAGAAAGTCAGCATAAAGGCTTTTAGAATTTTTCAATTATGTGAACCCATTATAAAAATAAATATAGAGGAAATAATAATAATAATAATCCTTGCATTTTCACGTCCCAAAGCGCTTCCCAGAATAGACTGTAAAGTGAATTGACTGTATATTTGTGGGCGAACGCGGAAGCCAATTGCGCACAGCAATGTCCCACAAACAGTCATGGATTGAAAATCACCAATTTATTATTGTTTTGTGTTTTTGGAGGGATTATTATTAGGTGTGTGGAGTAAGGAAACTTGCCCAAGGTTTCGCCCTGCCTGGAATTGAACTCGGGTCTTTCACTTGCAAAGTGAATGCTCTAACCACTGAGCTACAGGACTCCAATCTTTCTCTTTCTCTCCTCCCTCCCCAGTTCCCTACAATACTATGCATTGACTTTCTGAAAATTAACATTGGTGCTCTGAATTTGAACCTCCCATTATTCCATTAGATCCCGTTTGATTCTCTGCAGACTGTTTTAAGTATATAACTGAATGCCTTGACCTTCAAGGTATCAAGGCCACTGCCATGTGGTATGAAATGCTCCAACTAAATTAATTTTGAACCATACTGCAAATGACAGGTGGCTAACGCTAAATTGGGAGCTGAAAATGTGGTATGCATTCACAAACTAGAATTGTTACACTAAGGGAAAACCAGCATTTGGGAGCCTTTGGGATCCTTCCCTGATTCACTGTTAACCCCTAGAATCCTGGATCTCTGTCATTATTAGCACAGTAACTTCTGGTTTGCAAATCCCATCTTCCAATTCCATTATCTGATTTTCTTCCTGTCTACCAGAAAACATTACATTCTGCCTATCACTATGGAATTAGCAGTCACATAATGTTTTGCAGGAGAAATAAAAGCATAACCTTAACATTCAACAAAAGTGAGTGGTATATATTATTGCCTTACCTGTGCCTGAAATCTTTATTTCTGACAGAAGGCAGGTAGAAACCAGGTAAAATAGAGATAGAAAAAGGTATTTAGCATTAGTTTGGAAGAAACAAACATTCAAAAAGAATACTGACACCAGAGATTTATCAACGTGGATTGGCATTTTTTTTTGGTCACCTGAATACCTGACACATGCAGAAACAATCACCCTGTGAGTATTCAAACTAGACTGAGTTCTCCATATGAATGGAAATTTCCTTTTGTTAGGAATGCACAAATTAGCAAGAGCCAAGGCTCGAGAACCTAAAAGGGTGTGTTCAGGATACTGCTGGAGTTTAAGCAGGTAAAACTACACTGTGCGCCATTGGGAACATTGACTGACAAGCTTTTCATTGCTTGTTCAACTAGGACCACTCCAACCCATTAGGGCTTTGGCCTTGCAGGGTTAACAGGAGCTGTGTGGAAAGAAACTTAACCCCATATGACTGGTCTGCTTTCCACATCCTGCTAATGAACCAGGTTGGCTGGTCAGTCAACAACAGTGCTTTGGAGTACTGCCGATCTGTATGGTTCAGACTACAGAGACTGTCACATAGGATTGACTCGATTCCAATATTCCATTACCAGGAATGTCACCTTAGAGCAAATGCCCCCCACGTACATTTGGCTGCATAGAAAATAATTTTAACTGCAATACTACAGTTCAAATACATTCAGAATCACATGTACATCCTTGTCAGATCAGGCCAAAGTAAAATAAATTTCCATAGTTTGAATTCAATTGCAAATGGAGATGGTCCAGACAACAAAATTGCCTTGACATTTAACAATAGTTTTTGTGATGTTATAACGAGAGAGGAACGAACAGTTTGCTCGCTGTTAAATGCAGTGATGTTGATGATTTATATTTAAAATGAGATTTTTCACTATCTGGTGTGAAAAATGGAACTGTATAATCATAGAAATTGCAGGATAAGAAGCCAGTTGGCCCATTGATGCTATTTGGTTACTACCTCCCACTTGTCAACATTAAACTACATTTTCCACTTAATACCCCAACCTGCAGTCTATGTCTTAACAACAACAACAAAATTACATTAGTATAGTGCCTTTCACATCAGGAGGACGTCCCAAATTGCTGGACAGACAGAGTTTCAGACCCGAGCTGGGAGTCAGGATTGGGGAGGGCAGAAGGCAGGGGGGGAAGCAGGGTGATCGAAAGCATGGTTGAAGAGGAGGGTCTTGAGATGGGTCTTGAAGGAAACAAGGGAGGGGTCAAGGCGGATGGACTGTGGGATGCAGTTCCAGAGGGTGGGGCAGAGTGGCAGAAGGCCCACCTGCCAATAGTGGGGTGAGCGAGGCAGGATGGTAGGGGGTTAGAAGGTTGCAGAGGTAGGGGGGAACAAGTCCATGGAAGGCTATGAAGGTGAAGACCAGGATCTTGAACTGTATCCTCTGTGTGATGGGAAGCCAGTGGAGTCGAACTGATAAAATATAGGTACCTCTTTTAGATCATGATTTACCAACAGATGGTTTCATAGGCAATACAGAAAATAATTCTAAGTTTATTCTGTGTGTTTGGTGATGAATCGTGAACTCCTCCTTTTTGCTTCAGCGTCAATTGGAAATACAGTAATTGCCAAAACTGAGGTAATTGTGTCAATGAGAATGATACATCCAGTGCATAGGTGGAAGATGTAGACTCTTCAATCATTCAATCAGAATGTTTTCTAACAAAAGACAGAACTGGCTGCAGGAACCTGAGGTTAAGCAAATTTGAACGCTTCTGAAAATTTGAACCATCTGAACAGAGTTAGGCTTCAATAGACAGATCCTGAGTCCTGCGACAGATCCTGTGTTTATATTTAAAGGAACTGGAAATGTCTACTTCAACCTCCTCTAACTTACAGTGGCAGGCTTCATGGAGGATATGGTGGTGATGATAGAGGAGGGGGTGACAAGTTCAAAGGTGTGGAAGGAGGGATGGGTAGTGGTTGGAGTGTGGGGGGGCATTCAGGAAGGGATGGAAGTTGGGAGGGCAGTGGCAGCTGAGCGGATTCCCTCAATTTTGGACTTGAGAAAGTCCAGCATTTCCTCGCAGTGGGAGTCGGAGGAAAGAATCTGCGAGGCATGGTGGGGAGGGCGAAGGAGCCGGGTGCTGATGGAGAACAGGAGCCTGGGGTTGCCCTTCGCCTCCAGGATTGACCTGAAATAGAAGGACAATTTGGCCGAGACAACAGCGGAGCGGTAGATTTTGATGTGGTCCAGCCAGATGTGCCGGTGGACCATTAGATCAAGAGTTATAATACAACGGAGTGGGGAAGATTATCTGACTGAAATTGCAGCAGAATTGAATGAATAGTGAGACAGCCAATTCCAAGATCCTTGCCTCCACTGCTCTTCAGCTAAAGACCTTTGCTACCCCAATCCCATTGTCAGGTGACATTAGGAACTTGCTAGCTGGAAAAGCGTTGTTGGAACATATATTCCACCTTCCGTATAGCAACTCAACCTTAAACTGACACCCTTCTTACTACATTTCTCACCCCAATTTTGTTGGGAGTTTGAGATTACAGAATAATTTGGTATTAATAAGAGGGATGTAAGAGGTGTACAAGTTTAACCTTTTGCCTTTTTTACTTGGAAAAAGAGCAGTTACATGACCGAGTTACTGTGAAACAGCTAACACCTAAAGTTATCGTACCTTAACTCCAGTACATTTGTAGCATTGCCTGAGGGGAAGATCCTACGAATATAATTGAAATCCCCAACGTATATGCTTCCATCTGATCCACATGCCAAGGCAACTGGTGCAAGGAGCTTGTTACCATCTGCAAGACCATTGCAACTTGGGCATGAAATGCTACGTCTGCGGCCATTTCCCATAATACTCCCAATGATAGGTGGCTGTTGGGATATGAACTGATTTTCTCCATTTCCCTTGTGCAAGATCCCTGAAATCAGAAAAAATAGAAATATTATTATTGAATAGGATACACAGTTGGATAGGATGGTTTGTATTAACATTTAACAAATACAAAAAACACTATCTCTGGAGGGATAAACTCTGCTTACCTAATTCCGGAGAGTGTCATAGCAGTAATAATCCTTACATTTGGCATACCTCCTTTCATGCTGGGAGAACGTCTCAGAGTGCTTTGTAGGATATACTGCAAAGTGTAGTGACAGGGTGTTTTTGTGGGCAAACGTTGCAGCCTAGACTAAATGAGTTCCAACATAGAGCTTGGACCCACAACTTCTAACTCAAACCAAGAAGGGCTACCAACTGAGCTGAGACACCGTTCAACACAAATTGGCAAGAGCCAAGGGCTGGGGAACCCAAAGTGTGTGTTGGGTTACTGCTGGAGCTTACAGCTAAAATCACATTACTTGTCATTGAGAGCACTGTTTCACAAGCTTCCTGGTACTTATCCAGCTGGGACCAGCCTACCCGTGAGGGTTTTGGCTTCCTAATGGGTAGGCTCGATTAACAAGAGCTGAATGGGAAAAATCCACAAGAATCCAAATGGCCTCCCTTTCCAAATCCTGTTGAAGCACCAAGCTGGTTGGGCTGTCATCAGCAGTGGCCTGGGATACTGTTGTCCCAAGCTTCAGTGCATCAAGCAAGAGATTCCTGAGGACAAATTCCAGTTACTGAGAGAATGATGGGTTTAAGTAATAGCAATAAATGTTTGTACACCTTTGTAAAAGAGAGGAACCTCATTTATATCTTTAGTTCATATAATTGTCATTGAAATATACACATCAGTGATTAATGGTGGCAGGCTTTAACTGTGTAACTGCTGTTAATAAAGAGCCTTTATTGGGTTCTTACAAAGTAAATTATAAGAACGTTTAGGACATGGTTAATAAATAGCATCAGATCTTTAAGCACTTTTTTCAATTTTTCACATATGAATTAGCAGAGTAAGTTTCCAATATTATGTGAATATATCACAAGAGACGTACAGACAAAACTGCTCCACTGCCATTTGAGCACATCCTGCAAGAATACAAGGCGACTCTGCTATTATGCCCCTGCCATACCCCCCCTCCCCCCTTACAGTGACTGCAGTACACTTTGGGTTTTGGCTTCTGGTACTGACTGGCCAGTTTTCCGAGCATTACACTCATGTGCGCTGTGTGCAGAAAGCGCAATGATGTCACTTCATACACATGTGTGCTATTCAGGAAATGACATCAGTGGCAACCTGGTGATCTTGGAGATTGTGACAAATTGCCATTTTTTTGCATGCCTCCTTATAATGTAGAGACCAATTTATGAACTCAAATCACTGCACTAAAACAGGATCTCCCTGCGTTCACTCCACCTTTCTCTCATTACAGACAGCATCAAGTATTAAATGATTCCAGAGTCCTGGTTTCAACAAAACACTTAGATAACCATTTCGAGATCATCTTCTCGGTAAAGAAATATATCCTAATATCTATATTAAAACCACCCATCACAAATATCAGTCAAACTAGTGTTTGTTCAGTCTGACAATGTACCTGAAGGTTAAATGTATCACAGGGAGCATCACAATGAGTACTTACCACTCTGTATGTTGAGGGCATGGTGTGTGTCTATTGTCCATCCACCAAGGTTAGATGCCTCTATCTCATAACCCTGCAGAACAGCTGTCCGCTTTTCCCAGAGTATCAGGTCAGGACAGGATTCATATTCATAACCCACAGACACTGCAAGAGATTGAGCAAAAATAGGTTTCATTGATGGACAGTCCATTCAGCAAATTGCCGAGGTCTAATTAGGTAAAGAGCTATCCCTGCCAAACTGCTTAAAATCAAGTCCCTTTATAATTTAGCCTGATTAAACTCCAGAAAAACACTCTCAAGGCAAAAGGACAGATGCTCCAGTGAAGTAATACTGCTATGGCTCTTCATCTCGAGAGGCCTGAGTTTAAAGCTGGCTCATATGTGAGGAAAAGGTCACCTCTTACAAATCCGTGTTCAGGGATCAAGCTAAAGCCTGATTTAGTCTTATTCAAGATCTCAGCAAGTATGGGTTTACATAATAATCAAGATAATTCTTGCTTCTGAACAATATTGAACAAGTAAAGCATTACATTAGTAGGACCTTGGTGGCATAGCAGTTTAACAAACCTCTCCTTTCACTTCACCGACTTGGCAGGTTTGTTTCATATGTAGCTCAATTGTTGACCTATTCTCACATGCCTCACCCCATTATGAATCAAAGTCATTCACCAGTGCTTACCATTTATTGGACCTTGAAAAATTTTTATACTGTCTACCATTATGCAGAACAAAGAGACCAATGGAGTGATATCAAGCTCTATACTATTTTCCCTTGATGCACAGCTCCAGTGGAAGAGAAATAATTCTGTACAAATCATCAATACTTTAATACCAGTATATAACCTTCACTCACTGGTATAAGGGAAATCCTCTCTCCGGAGTGCAAAAGCCTCCCCTGGGTCCACGGGCATAAACCTCTGTAAGGCCCACAAATCACCTACTTTTAACCTGTAAGACCATTTTGTACAGCCACAGTCAGAGAAAATTAGGTATTACCATTGATGCCTGCCGTTTATATTGGTTCAGATCCACAGCTGACCTAGAATACTTAGGTCACACATCTTTATGGCGTTCAATACAAAAATTGCTTGAATTTAATATCAAGTAAAGTCATTGTTGGAAGGAAGCTACTGGAGTATTGCACCCACTGTGAAAGCCCTTTTATTCACAAAATAAGTCTATCTATAAATTACGAGAAAAAGGGAACTCTGCAAAGTGGGGTTGAACACTTATTGCTCACTAATGGTAGTGAGTATTTCACTCTGCTCTTATAAGAATAATCCTACATTTTATACAGCGCCTTTCACATCAGGACATCTGAAGAGTGCTTCACTATCACTGTATTTTGCAGGTGAAAGGGCGAACTAATTTGCACATAGAAATGTACCACAAACAGCCTGAAGTGAATGACCAATTTTATCCTGGTCAAGATACTGGGAGAAACTCCTTAATATTTTGGAATAGTGCCACATCGACCTGATAGGATAATAGTAAAATCTCACAATAAGCATGGAACAAAATGTTTGTTAGTAGGATTTAGAGTTACAATGGGTCAATTTAGTGGTACATTCGATATTTATCATATTGAATGTACCTGAATGTTCCTCCCTCTTGACCCCAATGAGTGTGACTCCAAACTTGACTCTGGTCACAGTGGCTTTTATTCCAATAAAATTCAGGAAGAATCCACTTTTCAATAAAATCATGCAAAGATAGATGCATGGTTTCATGCCAGGGTCTGTGTCTGTGCCCTCACAACAGTTTTCATTACCCTATCCATTAGAGGGAGCATCTCACCAGATGCGACAAGAAAACAATATTCAATCAGCCTGCTAGGAACCTGCATTCTATGCTCTCTTTCAAATTCTACTGAGAATATCATGGTGTAACTGATGCCTTCATGAGACAACTCGTAATTTGCACAGGTCCCATTTTGAAACATAATATGTGGGTATTTTTCATGTAAAGTTTCACTTTCTTCAATATTTGAAATGGATAATCAAATAGTAATAACATGGTGGCAGACGGAAATCAAGGATAGACTGAGTGATTGAAACATTTGACCTGATTCTGCAATCAGCCTGTTTTTAATTCCTCAGTACAGTGCATGTAATTACATTATAGATCAAATGAAGATCTGAAAAAATTCCGCCTCATCTTAACCTGTAAGATCACTTTGTCTTACAATTTAAGATTCTGTGAAATCATGTTAAATTCTTAAATTCAGTCTTAATTTGGAAGGTGGTTTTCTACTGTTCTTAAAAAGGATCAGATTCCAAATTAAGAATTAATTTAAGAATTTTCCACAATTCTACATCATCTTTAAATCAAAGTGGTCTGTAGATTAAGCCTGATTGAAATTTATGATGAGGACAATGTTTGTGTAATAAAAAGAGACTACTAATAATCCTTACATTTGGTATAGTCCAATTCATGTCTAGGAAGCATCTCAAAGGATTTCACAGGATATACTGTAAAGTGCAGTGTCCATGTATTTGTAGGCAAACACTAAAGCCCAGCTGGAGAGGAGACTAGAGGAACTAGGATTGTTCTCCTTAGAGCAGAGGAGGTTAAGGGGAGATTAAATAGAGGTGTTCAAAATTATAAGGGTTTTTGATAGAGTAGATAGGAAGAAAAAATGATGAGGGGTTTTGATAAGAGTAGATAGGGAGAAACTGTTTCCACTGGCATAATATTCTATGATTTGTGCATAACGGCATCCCACAAACACCCATGAACCGAATAACCAATTTTATTGAGGGGGATTATTTGTCAGGACACCAGGAGAAACTCCCTTAGAATTACCTTTATAGCCAGAAGTGAAATAACGGGCTACTGAAAAGACTAGTTAGCAGGTGGTATGGGGCATAACAAAACACAATGTTGGGTCATGTAGTGAGAAGATTTGGCCATCCATGGGTCAGCACATGGTGAGTTCTTGATCTCAGCCATAATGTCAGGGGAAACACCAAGTGAACACAATGAACTTGCCCAGGAGAGGGGAAGAAACTGAAAGGTGCCATTCACCTTTGTGTTATTAACAGAGACTTCCTGGCAAATGGTTCAGATTGGCATGAGCAGAAATATAAGAATGGATACATCCACAATCATCAACAACATGGGAGTGAGAAATGGGAACTGAAAAATGTTGGATACAAAAGAATATAATAACAACAATGATCCTTCATTTGATATTGGGCCTGTAATTTTGAAATGTCTCCAAGCCCTTCACAGAATGTTTCTGCAAAGATTGTATATTAGAAGGCAAACATGACAGCCAATTTACATACATAAATTCCCCACAAGCAACCATGAAGTGAATTACTAATTTTAACTGTTGGATTGTCAGTCAGGAAAATTAAAAAACGTTTTTGAATAGTGTCACCAGATCTCTAATATCCACTTAAACAGGTAGACGAGACTACAATTTAACATCTCAACCAAAGGATGGCACCTCTGACAAGGTATATATTTTGAAACATTAACAAAAAAGAGACATTACGGATGAAAGATTTAATCATTGTGCATCTAATCATCAGGTCAAGCAATTGATATACAATAAAAGCAAGTTCTCCAGCACGGCCACTTCCCTGCGAATGAGCACCAAATAATAGTCTAATTTGAAAAGCAAAATGAAATAAAATCCTTACATGTGATTTAGTGCCTTTCACATCAGGAGTACAGCTCAAAGCACTTTACTAAAAGTGTAATGATGGTGTATTTTGAACGCAAACAATATTTATGAAACGGGTGTTTGTAACTTCTGTTAAATGTGAGAGTTTCATAAAACTGCTCATCGTGATTTCCAAAGCCTGACAAAGTGAGTAAAAAAGGCTAGAGAGCAAACTGGCAGTGGATGTGGAAGAGATGATCTCCTGCCTGCATTTTTTTTTACAGCTTTTCATTTTTTGGCATCTTTTGGAAACCACAATGTATCTTTCTGCAAATTACTTAAATTAAATGGAAGTTGCAATTAGCATTTTCCACCCACTTTGCAAATACGGATCACAAATTAGGTTCCAATATTTCCAGCACATGAAACCTACCAAATGCTTCAGACAATCCATAAACCTTTTGATTGTAGACATCTGTTTTGTCCCAGATGAAGTAGTAAGAAAGGTCAGGAGAAGCAGGAAACCATTTCTGGAAGAGTCGCCCTTCCACAGCTACCATAAGGTGGACCTTCATCAGGTTGAATGGGATGGAGGGTTGGGTTAGGCTGATCCTCATCACTGATTTGTAGCCAGTTGTTCGACTGCTTAAATAGTTCAGCTTCATTTTGCTGCCTGGGATTTTTATCTCCTCCTGTAACACCTACAACAATGAAAGGTAAAACTAAAAATTTAAAAAAAAACAACAACGTTAAAGTATTTTTTTCTGTCTGTGCTTTATGGGGGTATGAGGAATTTAAAGAAAGAAGTTTGAGAAAGTGAAGTAGATGGACAGACTGGGTTAAACTGGGATCTTGTGAAGCTGCATTGAGTCACTGTTCTGAAGCAAAAAGCAACATGTAAACCATTTAGGAAACAGAGGAATAATCTTCAGACTGACTACAGATCCAACTGTGTTGAATTGGTGGGGATGGGGGGGTTCACTTACAGCCGGTCTTCAGTAATCAATTGGAAACAACAACATTTTATAACAGATTCAATATAATGATTAACACATCAAACCTGTTGAGAAACATGGCAAATTTCACCCCATAATTTTTCCTTATTCGCTTTTTAGATTAAATAATTAATCATTTGTATTGCACAATGCTCCCGATTTCACAAAAGTAAACAAAGCTTTTTTTTTTACACACTGTACCTGTATCTCCGGAACGATGGGCCCCTTTTCCGGGCAGGAACCAGCAAACTCTGTCAGTGGTGCCGGAGAGACAATTGGGTTGGGACGTGCAAAGTTGCTCAGGTCACAGCTGGGAATCTCATTCTCTTCATGCCTCATGATGACTGTATCCATGACAAAAAAGCGATCCCATGGCAGCCAGAGTGTATGCTCTTGGGTGATGAACGGAGCGCGCTCAAAATGCATCGTGACTGAGACCCCTCCATTAGTCATCAAGTCAAAGCTGTTGGGGGATGGCATGTGAAATGGTGGTGGAGATGGAGAAAAAACAAGATACTTTGTTTATAAAGGCAAAATGAACCTGATTCAAGCAACATTTGACCTACATACTGACGACATTTACCTCCCAGAATAAATCCAGCAGGTAGTTTTCATAGGTAGAAAGGCACTGCCTACCTCTCCGACCTACTATCCCCCTACCTACCTGCCCGTACCCTCCGTTCCTCTGGCTCCGATCTGCTCCGCATCCCCCGCCCCAACCGCCCTACCATCGGTGGCCGGGCCTTTAGCCTCTCAGCCCCTAGGCTCTGGAACTCTATCCCCCCTTTCTCTTTGACCATGCCTTCAGCTCCCCTCTCGACTCTCTACCCCCTCCTCGCTCCCTCCCTTCCCTCCTCTCACCCTGACTATTTCCCCCCTGCTCGGGTCCTGACCCAACTGTACAGCGCCTTGGGATGTTCTCCCGACGTGAAAGGCGCTCTCTAAATGGAATCTTGTTGTTGTTGTTGTATATAATGCAATTTATTGTTTGCTGTTTTATTGATCCTGTTTGCTTAATAAGAGGAAGCCACAGCTGTATGTAACAACATTCTGATCCTTTTTATTACTGTGTAATCCAGTTCGAAATGGTCCTAATTGAGGGTCTAATATTCTGTCATTTCGTCATTTCTAACTGGATTCCTTAAGAAGGAAACTGGAAATACATCATGCTGAGCCATGTGAACTCTGCTCTAAAGCAATCTAAGTTTAGAACAGAGTTCCCAAGGATACGTGTGACGTACCTCTGATTACTGGAAGAAGTTCCCACTTGAATTCCTTATCAAGGAATCTTGTCAGAAATCACTACACATTAGATACAATGGAAGCAAGATACTTGCAAAAAGCATTGGAAACATTAGATCGGGAAAGTCTTCAATTCACAGGCAATAATTAAGTAATATATGTAATGTATTTGAGTCCCATGGGAAAAAAATGAGCAAAATGGGATTAAAAGATCATCTAATAAAATAGTGGCACTGTAACAGCTTGGTGGATCAATTGACAAATTCCTGTTCTTATGCCAGTTCTGAGAACATTAATGCCACTTGATCCAGTGAGAAGAGTCAGTGAAGAATTGTTAAAGCCTCAACAGCAGTAGCACTCCACGTTTCACTAACAGGAGGCACACTTTCTGTGGTATTAGACTAGTTTTGACTCTAGACCCTCAGTCTCAGATGCCTCTAAGTGGGAATATTCATTACATCGCTTCTAAATTTGGTCATCTGACATACTAAGCACTCAATATTATTGGTATGGTCAAAGGGGTTAAAAGCTCACCATCGATGATGGGATGGGGATGGGGTGGGTAACCTTTTTTTGGTCAGCTATGTGTCTCACACAATGCTTAGGACTGCGAATTACACATATGTATGCCATCTGCACGTGGACAGTTCCCTGTGTCTAGAATGGAATGCACACTCACTCCCTGGAGTGATACATCCTGTTTACCTAACCCCAGAGAATATTAAGGAGAGGTTAGCAATAGCCAATGCTTGGGACCTCAGAATGTGTGTTGGGGGGACTGCTGGAGATTAACCAGCTAAACCGGCATGGCTTGCCATTAAAATAATTGTCTAGTAAGCTGCATGTACAGCTGGGGTCACACTAGCCATTAGCAGTTTTGCTGGCTTGCAGAGTTCACAGAAATTGAGTGGGAATAATTGCTGTCCCCGTGACCAATCTGCCACTGCGAGCCCTACGGTGAGCCAATGACTGGCTGGTCATCAGCAGTAGAGTGCAGGGGACATTCAGTAAGCCAGAGATGGCCGAATGTAGGGATTGGGCAGGGGAGTAGGCCCACAAGGGAACGCAGAGATAGGGTCAGGCAATGCTGCGGAAGCATTTGAAGACAAGAATGAAAATATTTGTTGCCTCCACAGAAAAACTTAGCAATGCAAACGTGGTGTAATGGATGTTTAAAGATTTGAAACCAATGTACACAAAGCTAATCTCTGAATCATGCACCTGTGAAGAGCTTCATACCTGCCATCCTGACGACTGATGGTGTAGCCATAGCTGGGATTGTTGACAAAACTGACATTGACACCAACCAGTGGGGTACCATCTGCTGTCACTACCTGACCTCGCATCACACAGGTATGGCTGCAAGCACAGAAAAGAAAATATTAGTTATCTATTGTTAAATGGCTCTGATCACAAACAAAACAGTAAGTAATCCTCAGGAAAAACAGAAAATGCAGGAAAAGCATAGTAGGTTAATGCTCATTTAATATTCCGAGTTGCCTAGCATTTGCTGGCAATCCACTATGAAACATGGCTGCACTTTCACTTTCAGGTGCTGAATGTACAGAATCCTTTTCAGAGTACACTGCCTCTGCAGCAAACAGCAATGGAGATTCTCCCCCACATCCTCCCCTGCCCCCACCAACACCAATACCAATTTGTATTTATGTAGGATAGGGTCTCAAAGCACTTTAAACGAGATGTTGCAGCAAACACGACACAATGACGTATCAAAATCCACAATTGTGCCTGTGTGAGGCTTATTATTTTTTCCTCATTCTTTCCCCCTGCCCCAATTCCCAAATTGTGGTCCCTAAATAATGGAGCAGATCCTAGAAAAAAGACAAGGGCAAACTCACTTAATATTCATGCATATCACATCACGGTTATTTTGGTCTCAGACAATTTTGGTATCAACTGGGAAGATAATTTCCAACGGTCTCGCACATATATACAAGTGAAAAAGTGGCAGTACCAGTTTAGAGAGACATCCAAGTGTCAGAGCCTCAACTTTTCATTCCTCCAAATTCATAATATAAAGGTTGTACAACATTTTGGGTGTGAACCACATCAGCTCTTCCTCTTTCATCTGCTGTGCATTTGCTCCTTGTTTTTTATTCCATATCTCCGTCATTTGTAATTTTTCTTTCTCATTACATAGATTAATATGGTACGGAAACAGGCTATCTGGCCCATGTAGTCTATATCTCTCTGTGACCTGCTGCAGCATCGCCTTTCATGACTTATGGATTTTGATACAAAAGCACAATATTTTCTGTCATTGCAATCCCGTCTTTGAACAAATAAAGATCGAAAAATGGAACTTTAGATAAGGACGATACATTACAACGGAAATTTCTCGAGTAAAAATATACAGTATTCATCACTCAGAAGTTACGCCTGATGAAAGAATTATAGCAATTCACTTATTTACTGGAGAAACTGACACTGAGGTCTAGTTTGTGATATTTGCTAAATAAGTAGGGAGCGCTAATAAGAGGATTTCAATAGCTTTCAGAAATCACAATTATTGCTCCCTATCCTTTTGCAGATATCAAGTGCAAAGCCCCCTTGTGTCCATGATGTTGATCTGGTGCTGGGACAAAGGAAATTCAGCAGCCAGTTGTGACCAAAGTGGCCTTAAGGGGACTTTTCTCATATCTAACATTGTTAGACGTTCTGTCATTGCAATCCCACCACTACTTTGCTCAAAACGTAGTATCAGTTCAAAACCAGATGTTAATACTGCTCCAGCTCTGTGTGAAGATGCTTATTCTTCACAGGATTTAATGTAAAGTGTAGTGACCGTGTATTTTGTAGGTGAACGAGCAACCAATTTGTTCACAGCAATGTCCTAGAAACAACCATGAGGTAAAGGACCAATTTTATTTGGGGGATTGTTGGTCAGGGCACTGGGAGAACCCCCTTTCTCTTTTGAAAAAGTGCCATGGGATCTTTAATATCAACCTGAACAAGGTCTTGGTTTAACTTCTCATCTGAAGGACGACACCTCCGACAATGCAGTGCACCCACAGCACTGCATTGGAGTGTCAGCCTGGACTAATACAAGTAGAACAGGAACATCATATGTGATAAAATCTAAAATATATATATTTTTAAAATTTGATACAAAGTTTTATCTGAAACAGTCAATGTCACTCACTGTCAATCTAATTCATAATAACTGTATTACTTTAACACAAACCTGCCATCTCTATAAATCATATGGCTCAGTAGAGTGTACTTTACATTAGATTATCAACACATGAATAAACCAAAAATTAAAATCAAAGCTAAGCAATATTCTCACCTAGCCAGAGGTGAATTATTTGGCTGATGTGTCCTCTTTATTTTCAGCGCACGTTATAGTTTAATTTTGCTTCCCCCCTCAAGCCACAATGGCCTCTGTTATCCCATTTGAAATGACTGCTGAGTCCCATACAAATATGGTCAAAAAGGTATAGCTTCCTTGCCTCCCTACAACTAAGTACTTACTTGTTGGCTCTGCTCAGCCCCTTCCCCATCAAATGACTCTGGTAAGTGACTTGAGTAGAAGATTGAACCTGCATCCCTGCCAAGTGTCAATCCACAATAGCTTGCACTTATGTAACACCTTTCATATAGTTAAACACTGCAAAGCATTTTGCAGAGATGGAGTGGGAACCTGAGTGGAGCGGGATACTGAACCAAAAGCTTAGCCCAATTCAATTTGCACTTGTATATATTAAGCATCTTTTCTCATAATTGGTAACAGCAGAACATACAGGACTAGAAAATACAATTTCTATATGATTAAATCTATATGAGTAGTGTCAAAGTTAACTAAAATAATATCTCAATCCTACATTACGGTATTGTGTCTCCCATACCCCTCAATTGAAACCTTCAACAATTAGTTATCTGATTCCCTCTTACATTTATGTCTCCCTGGCTAGTCTACTCCACATATTAACCATGCCCTGTGTAAAATAAATAAATCAATGATGTGATAAGGCACTATATCAAATGCAAGATTATTATTAGTAGTAGTTATTGAGAATTTGGCAACAGCTCCTAATTTTGATGTTCACTGATAGAAGCATGAAGATTTGCAAAACTGCTTTGTGAGGAGATTTGCCTGCGGCTCATCAGGAAAGAGCTGACTCCTGCAATATTCTGGCTATCTTCAATCAAGAATTTAAGCGATACTTGTCATTCATAATACAAAGAGCAACTTATAGTTCAAAACTGCATTCCCTGTAATTACTTCTGTTGAAATCAATAACACTCAACAAAATAAATATTGTCTGCAAAATTCACAATTTACAGCAGCTTCTTTTAAAAAGAAACACCCAAATGGGAAGCCTGCTGAATTGAATTTAATAGGAATCTTGTGCTTTTCATTAACCATGGTTGGTAATTATGGCATTTTAAAAAATAAATAATCCTTATATTTGATACAGCATATTTACATCAGGAGGACATCTCAATGCATTTTACAAGATTTAATATAAAGTGTGTCTTTTTATTTTGTAGGCAAACAAGTCAACCAATATGTGCACAGGCAGTGTCTCACAAACTGCCAGTAAGTGAAAAAACAATTTTATTTGGGGAATTGTTGGCCAGGAAACCAGGACAAATTCCTTCTCTTTACGAATAATGCCGTGGGATCTTTTTAACATCCATATGAACAGGCAGACATTCTCCATTCCAGAATCCCTTCACGTTTCCTCCTAGCTCCCCACCATCAGAACCCACCTTAGGACCAAATTGTTCCAGCTTCCATATGATCACTTTTCACCTTCCCCCAGACTCCCCATCAGCTGTATAAAGTGCTTTGAGACATCCTCCTGATGTGAAAGCAACTGTATGAATGTAAATTGTTGTTTCAGGACAGTATCACATTGAAGTGTTTCAAAGCACTTCACATGAGTGAGTCTGACAAACATGGGAGCTATTCCAGGATGTCAGTAACATCCAGCAAACTGGTGAATGATTCAGTTTTGCTTGTTTTTCCTGGATTTAGGTGAGGAGGAACATTGCACACAATCCTAAAATAACTCACTTCAAAATAATGCCATAGGATCATTAATACTCATGTGGATCACTGTCATGACCTTCGCTTAACATTGCTTTTAATGGATAAGCACCTCTGAAAGACACTACACTTCAAAACAACCAATATATATACTTTCATGTTTATATGCCAAACTGGTTAGTTGCAACTTTTCTGATCTAATACATGTTGTGGGATTTGACTGTGCACCCTGCAGAATTTAATCAGGTGACCCACCGTCAAAAAAGACTGAATTCTTGTCAAAAAAACTTTCAATATTTTATTCCAATCCCTATTTAAATCAGTTCAGTTAATATTAGGTCTCAGTTTAAAGCTAACCTTGACGACGAATGACATTCCCACAGGGTTTCCCAAACTGCCTTAAATTGATTGTTTTTTTTAAAAAGGAGAAAAAATGTGCATGAAGATTTATTTCTGCAAGTCACAGTAATCAACCAGTGTAAGATGTTTAAGTTGAGTTTCTGACATCTAAGGAATAAAATATTAGCTAAGCAAACATTTTGAGAGAGTCAGCCCTCGGTACTGTCTCATCATCTTTGTTCAATTAGATCTGCAAATTGCTGGCTCTTTTGGCATATATATTTGCCCCGTTCAAAAAACAATTAACATTGTCTTGTAAGCATCTGGCCTTTCGAAGGAAAACTTGTCCTTACTGGAGGCAAGATCAACTTCTCACATTATACCTGGTCCCCAGAAACCAAAGTTAATGCTAATTTAGTCAGTCTTTTCCTTCAGGAGACCTTGGCTAAAAGCAATTACATTGCAACCAAGCTAAGTGGTGCTGCAAAGGCACCACTTGACATCAATTCTTCTTATTTATTTACATAATATTATCTGTGAGAAAAATGTGCAATTTCTTTTCACTCACCCTGGCTACTATGTCTTCAGTGACTTTTGTACATCAAATCAAGTGGAATTTCGGTTAGTTACATTCTTATATCAGAAGCGTAACATATTAGGAGCGGAACTCAAATCAATCCACTTTTTTTTAAATTTAGTTACATCAAAGATTAAAGTTACATGGTTTGGAGAGATTTCTCGGGTAAATACGAGGGATTTCCCCAAATATTTTTAAGATTCAAAGCACTATTATTTCAGCATCAATGTAATTCAGTAGAAGGATTTGTGCGAGCCAAAATAAGAATATTTTAAAATTCCAATTGCATTTCTGGATTCTCATATATATTTTAATAACTTATTTTAACATGCTCAGCAGTCACTTTGCCTATAAAAAGCCAATTTGAATGAAATCTGCAGTGGGACAGCTATGTGCTTTGGGAATTGATATAGGTGTTACCAGTGG